AATGATATTGTTTGTCAATTATGTTTATTTTTAATAATTTTCATTTAAAATATAACTCAATCCGTAACAGAGACCGCAATAATAAAAGTTTCAAAACTTGCAGAAATTTCAGAAAAACTTAATTAAACTTCAAAAGATTGTCATACAAATTTCCAAATTTTTAATCAGAGTATTTAGAAAGTTTTCGGGTATGCAGTTCTGTAGCCCATTCAATTGTAGTCTAAGAAAGTGCAAGGCTCAAATCGTTAAAAATTACCGTTGATGTTTTTAAATTTTTATTTTTATCATTTTGAAATTAATTGCTAATTAGTTGAACACAGGTGTACATAAGATATAAACAATAACAAGATATATGCTACAGTAATTATCGTTACAGTTAAATATAAGCAACCCGGATAATATATTATGCCCGCTCCCACGACTCATTTTTATTTCTGGAAATCGATTATGCTGTTGCAAAAACAGCAGCAACCCTTATGCTTTTTCTTGCAGATAACAACGTGCTTCGTCAACCTGATGATAAATATACTGTATTGATTTTTGGAAAGAAGATTAATGTTAATTTATACCGTTTTGAACCACGCTGATCCTGGCTTGAACATCATCCTATGTAAAAAGGACATCGTAGAACGAGGCGCTATTCCATGCATATGCAAGTGTTTTACGGTAACGAAAGGGGGCAGGTGAAATCCGAACAATGCATCTGTCGTACTGATATTCATTTTTTCAAATAACGACGTTAATCCTTGTTCCATGCGATCCACTAAGAAATTAAGTATAGAGTTACATTGACATTTAACTATGTATATCTTAAATGTATACATATTTGCATATTTACAGCAATTGTTATTGTTATACTTAAGCATAATTTTAATATTAGGAGATGCCTTTCTTTTCCCCCAATAAAACTTGAAGGGAGATCACCCAAAAAGGGGAATAAGAGAGCACTCGAATAAAGGACTTGATAGTACCTTCTTATAATTACGTCTAACCTCAGCAAGACTATTCATTGTCAATGCCATTCGTTTCCTGAACTTTATCCCTGCCTCAGTTCGACGTGGATTAAATGAAAGCAAGTTTAAGAAAACCATTTTTACGTATTTTCGTATAGTGAAATATAACATACATACATATCGTCNGATTTCAGCGAGCCCGAAAGAACAACTGGTACGATGAGGAATGTCAAGAAGCCGCAGAGAAAGAAGACGCCGCCTACAGGGCCACGCTGCGATCGGGCGCAACGCGAGCCATGTGGGACCGTTATAGGGAACTGAAGAAGGAAGTGAGACGTATTTGCCGCAATAAGAAGAGAGAGGCCGAAGTACGTGAGTGCGAAGAGCTTGAGATGTCAACGTATTGATTGGACCTTATCAGTGTGGCCTTAGGCCTGGAAAATCCACCTAGATCAAGTATTCACAATACGCCAAATCTTGGAAAAGACCCACGAGAATAGGATCGACACACACCATCTATTTGTCGATTTCAAAGCCGCTTTCGACAGCACGAATAAAAGTTGCCTTTATGCCGCGATGTCTGAATTTGGTATCCCCGCTGTGAAAAATTACGTTGAGCAATACCATTAGCTTCATCAGAATAGGGAAGGACCTCTCCGAGCCGTTTGATACAAAACGAGGTTTCAGACAAGGTGACTACCTTTCGTGTGATTTCTTTAATCTGATGTTGGAGAAGATAATAAGAGCCGCAGAACTAAACCGCTCAGGCACTTTACAAGAGCGTACAATTGCTGGCGTATGCCGACTACATCGATATTATCGGTAAAAACAAGGGCTACATCTGTTCTGCCTTCACGGGATTGAATAGAGAAGCAAAGCGAATGGGTCTGGTGATGAACGAGGACAAAACGAAGTCAGAGCATACGCGTCTTGGCACATGCGTCACTGTTGACAGTTACAAGTTTGAAAAAGTATGCGACTTCGTTCATTTGGGAACTAGCAATAACACCAATAATAATGTCAGCCATGAAATCCCACGGAGAATCACTCTTGCCAACAAGTACTACTTTGGACTGAGTAGGCAATTGAGAAGTAAAATCCTCTCTCGTCGTACAAAGATCACACTCTATAAGTCACTCACCATGCCTGTGCTGGTGTATGGCGCGCAGGCATGGAAAATGAAAACATCTAATGAAGAGGCTCTTGGATTTTTTGAGAGAAAGATTCTGAGAACGATTTATGTACAGACCTTTATGCATTGGCGATGGCGAATACCGCAGACGATTTAACGATGAGCTGTATGAGCTTTACAACGATATAGACATAGTGCAGCGAATTAAAATTCCGCTGGCTTGGCCATGGGGTTCGAACGGACAGAAACGCTCCTGCTTCATTCAATGCGGGCCGCGATTCAGGTAAGAGAGGAAGAGAAAGGCCTCCTCTGCTTTGGAAAGACCAGTGGAGAACTTGGCGTCACTTGTCATTTCCAATCGGCGTCAGTTAGCACAGAAGAGAAAGACTGACGTGCTGTTTTGGACTCGGCCAAAATCGTTTAGGCGGTTACAGCGCCAATGAAGAAGAAGATCGCATAATATGACATGACATCCCATCACATCACTTCACATTACATGACATGAAATTACATTACATTACAGTGGCCACACACGACAAACATGTACGCGAGCATGCTCGCCTTGCATGTTCATCGTTTGAGGGGCGATTCACGAGCATGTTCGCAAAAAATCAAAAAATCTTGATTTTCAGTGGGCCTTCGCATACTGGACTGCTCAGTCCATTTTTATCTAAATTTCGAGCTTTTTAACCAGAATTTTATTTAATGTGCGTAATAGATTTTTTGATAAATGAGGCTAAATTACTATATGCATGTATATTAGACTGCATCACTCTCCATACAAAAAAAAAATCGGCGCTATTTTTCCATTGGAATTATAAAATCTATTATATTTTAAGACGTCCACCAAAATCTTTCGGAAAAATAGTAAGATTTAACTTTGATTGAGCTGGACCGATTTGAAAATTCCTCTAAAAATGGGATTTATATGAATAAAAATAGTTTCTTAGATTTTTTTTTGAAAAAATCCCCTCAAATGTCAAAACTGTTTAAGCTTAAAAAATTTACATAAAAATATTAAAAGAATAATTAAAAAAATATTTGAATGAATGAATATTTTTCTCATCGTTTTTATTTCTTCGCTATAAACTCAATTATTCAAAGTTAAATTAAAATGTGTTGGTATTTGAAAAATAAAAAATTTGGATACGAATGACTTTTTTGGGACAGAAATAAAAACAGTGTGAAAATACCTTTCCACTGAGATCCCATA